AAGTGCAGCGCAGGGCCACAAGGTTGGTGGCCGGTTTGCAGGGGATGCCGTATGAGGCGAGACTGAGGGAACTGGGTCTCTTCAGCCTGGAGGAGAGGAGACTCAGAGGGGATCTGTTGGCGACATGCAGGTATGTGAGGGGGTGTCACACAGAGCTGGGTGGAGGCCTGTTCTCCCCTGCAGAGGAAGGCAGGACAAACTCCAATGGAGCCAAGCTCAGGGAGCCAAGGTTCAATTTGGATGCCAGGAAGCACTTCCTGACAGCTGGGACCCCCAGGGTGTGGAATGGGCTTCCCTGGGAGGTGGCTGAGGCCCCATCGGTGCGGGTGTTCAAGGACAGGCTGGACATGCGCATGGCAGGCATGTCGTGAATGGAGCTGACTGGATCTGGGGGTCAGACTAGATGGCCCGGGAGACCCCTTCTGACTCGCTCTGCTTCTGTGTTCTGTTAGGAGCCCTCCTCTGCCACCAGAGCAAAGGTCGAGGTTCTGCAGCTGGGACTGGCAGGATCAGCCCCCCCCCCCCAAATAATGTGCGACTGTGGGCCAGTCTTGCAGCTCTCCTGGGTGCCCTTCTGGTTCTCGCAAGGCATGGTGGAGACCTCGGGGCCTGGCAAACGGTGTGCTCAGCCCTGACGACCCTCCTGGGGGTGTCTCTGGGGCACAGGCGACGGTCGCAGTGCGGTTCTGGAACGGATTCCTCGTTCCGGGTTCCAGGCACCCCCTGCTCCTTCTGGCCTCATAATTGTTCCAACCCCCACAGAGCCTGTTGCAAGAAAGAAAAATCGAAAGCAAGCTACACCCAGACGCTCCGGGATATAATCTGGAGGCAGATGGTTCCTCGGGGGGAGCGTGCAAGATGCTAAATTTACAAAATTTTCACAAAGTGAAACATTGATCTGCTCAGAAAGCGTCTCTCTTCAAAGAAAGATGCAGGAGGGATCCGGAGGCCTTGCGTGTCTTGTGTGGTTTGGAACGACGGCTGTGGCCCTGCATTTCTGCCCTGCTTTGCTTTTGTCCTTTGGCAGGGAGCCCATGGCTGCGTGCAGAGTCCCCCATCGTCTCCGTCTTGCCCTCGCCACAGCCTTGTGAGGAAGGTTGGGCTGAAAGGCAGCGGCTTGGCCAAGGCCACCCTCCAGGGTCAAGCCAGGCCAGGACTGGGTCCCCGACTCCCAGGCCGACACGCTCACAGAGCCGACTCGGAGAGCCGCGAGGCTCACGCGCCGGCCGTTGCTCCGGGGAGCTTTGGGGGCAGCTGCAGCAAAGGCCCGGGGGCACCAGGCCTTCCCCCGCGGGCCACCTCTGGCCTGCCCCGCGGTCCTCGGGATCTCGGCACAGGGCTCCCCCCTCCCCGCTCCAGCAGGCAGGCCGCCTCGCGAAGCTGCGCAGCCCTCGAGCCTAGAACAGCAGCTGCCTCTCGCCTCGCTTTACGTATCGCGTCCATTCCTCGTCCTCCCCATCCCTTGTGTGTTCTCCGAACTAGAACAGGGGGTGCCGTTTGTGTCTTGGCCTCACCCCTTGCCCCTCCATCCTGGCACGACGGCCCCAAGAGGCTCCCCAAACTGAATCCAGGCCTTGGGCCAAAAGGGGACCGGCTCCTCCCATCTAACGCCGTCTTTGCCCCGGGGGGAAGCTGGGCACCGCACGGGGGGGGGGGGGGCGGGCCCAAGACACGGTCCCCTTGGAGGGCCGCCGGACACCCAGCTGCAGGCGGGGGCTGGCACAGCTGTTTGGCACAAGCCCTGCGCGCCCCTGTGGCCGTGAGCAGGAGGCACCCGCCAGCGGCCCAGGGAAGGCGCCGCGCGTTTCTGGAGCAGCTCCGCCATGTGTGGAGCGCCCCCAGCCCCGCCTCTGCCTGAGCAGCAGCAGGCCGGCCTCTGGGATGCCGGGCCATTGTGCCTCGGCAGCGGGAAGGCCGGATCCCGAGCCGTCCTCCTCTCCGGCGTTGGAGCTGATGTGGTTACTCAGAAGGACGGGTGAGGCCGAGGCAGCCCTGGCGGACTGAGCTTCTAATTTTATGTGGCAAGGGATCGATATACTGCCCACGCACAGCCCTCCCACCAGAGTTTTCTATAGCGCGTAAAGGACACGAAGAAGCTGGCCAAGGCTTCCTCAAGGAACATGGCAGACGTGAGAAAACGACGTGGCTTTGTAAGGTCGTTTGCAATTCCACCTGGACGGAGCTAGGAAATTTCACAGGAACACAGAGCAGTAGAGTTGGAGCCTGAGGGGGGGGGGTCAGGTCCAGCCCCCTGCTAGTGCAAGACCCTCAGGTAAACCGTCCGTCTTGGACAGCTGTCCAGACGCGGTTTGGATGGTAAGGGAGAGCCCAAGCGCCCTGGGGTCAGGGGTTCCACCACCGTACTGCTTTCTCCGTCAGGAACTCTGTCCCAGTACCTGTCTGGGATCGGACTTTCTGGAAACGGAGACTGTCATTCCATGGCCAGTCCGGGAAGAGATCCTGGCCCTCCTCTTTGTGACAGCCTTTTAAGTACTTGAGGAAAGCTGTCCTGCCTCCTCTGAGCCGTCTCTTCTTCAGGCTGAACATGCCCAGTTCCTTCCATCTCTCCTCAAAGGGCTTCGCTTCCAGTCCACAGATCCTTCTTGTTTCCCTCCTCTGACCCCTTTCCAGCTTGTCTGCATCTTTCTTCAACAGCTTTCTTCAAGCACCCTGGAAGATAGATTGAAGATCCAGGGCGATCTTGATAAACTTGAACACTGGCCTGAAAGCCACAGATTGAAATTCAATACGGATAAGGGCCAAGACCTCCACCTAGGAAAAAGAAACCAAAGCCTTCGATACAAGATGGGGAATACGTGGCTCAACAGAACTGAACAAACATAGAAACATAGAACATAGAAACAGAGCGAGTCAGAAGGGGTCTCCCGGGCCATCTAGTCTGACCCCCGGCTCCAGCCGGCTCCGCTCACGACATGCCCGCCATGTGCACGTCCAACCTGTCCTTGAACTCCCGCACCAATGGGGCCTCAACCACCTCCCATGGAAGCCCGTTCCATTCCCTCGGGGTCCCAACTGTCAGAAATTGCTTCCTGGCATCCAAAGTGAACCTTGGCTCCCTGAGCTTGGAGTGCGTCCTGCCCTCCTATGCAGGGGAGAATTGGTCTCTACCTAGCAAGGAAAACATATCGGAGTAATTGTGGACAAGAGGCTAAACATGAGCCAGCAATGCGATGCAGCCACCACAAGGGCAAGTGCCCTTTTGGGATGCATTAACAGAAGTATTACTTCCAAATCATGAGAAGTAGCAGTTCCCCTCTACTCCTCACTAGTCAGACCTCACCTGGAATTCTGTGGCCAGTTCTGGGCACCGAGATTTCAGGAAGATGCAGGTAATTTAGAAAGGGTGCAGAGGAGGGGAACAAAAATGATCCGGGGTTTGGAAACGCTGCCCTGTGAGGAGGGACTGAGGGAATTGGGCATGTCCAGCCTTGAGAAGAGAAGACTGAGGGGGGACATGGTGTCCCTCTAGAAGTCCCTCCAAGGCTGTCACAAAGAGGAAGGCCAAGATCTCTCCTTGCTGATGCCAGAGTGTAGGACACAGAATAATCAGTTCAAGTTGCAGCAACCCAGATTCAGGCTGGGCATCAGGAAAAGCTTCCTTTCTGTCAGAGCGATATGCCAGTGGAACCAGCTGCCTGGAGAGGTGGGGGCTCTCCCACACTGGGGGCATTCAAGGCGAAACTGGGCAGCCCTCCGAGTGGGATGGTGTGACCTGGTGTCCTGCAGCAGTGTGGGGGTGGACTAGATGGCCTTCCTGACCCCTTCCAACTTCACTATTCTCTGATTCTACGATGCCCAGAATTGGAGGCAGGACTCCAGGTGAGACTGGTACCAGTGCTGGTACTTCATGAGATTTGGAAGTGGCAGATCAATTAATGCAGCCTAAAATAGCATCTCATTGTTTCAGCATCGCATTGTTGACTCATATTCCCTTGGTGATCTACCACAGTCCCAAGATCCGTCTCACTTGCGGTGTTGCAGAGTTGGGTGGAGCGACACTCGCAGTCTTTCC